CCTGATTGAATTAATTCGAAGCCTCATGATGGTGATTCAGTGGCGTATCAGTGTCCTGTTCATGAAATCCCTACAACACCACAGACTCGCACACTCAATTAATACAAATGCAACTGGTACCATCTTGCATCTCAACAATCAATTGTATTATGTTACACGTTTATACACTTCTTGTATCTCCTCACCTCTTGTTACTCCTGGATGATGCCACGATTGCAGAATCTTTTCCGTTTCCACTGGAACTCCCCACAGACTCATTTCCATGTGATTCATTACTGTGGGACTCGTTACTGTGAGATTCTGTGCCACTTCCACTAGAGCCACTTCCGCCCATCTCCATGTCCTCATGCATCTGTGTTTGAGGCCTCGGAGAAGTGGGTGGGTCGTGACTGCTGTCACTCCCCTCAGAGGCCACGCCCATGTGGTGCAGGTGAGACATGGAGCCACACGGGGACTCAGACTCGCCCCTGTACAGGTAGGGCTTTGGCTCTGTCTCACCTGACATGGACAAGGTCAAGCTTTACATTTCAGGTCAAAGGTCCCCTGACCCAATTACTTGTTGAAGCTGTGAAAACAAATGGTAAGATAAGGTAAATGCATTAATGTTTTTTTCCCCCAAAATAAATTATATTTATTGAGTCAATGCGAGTCAATGACAGGGTGTTAATTTTTTTGTCCAGATCTATGAATTTATTAAAAAATACATAAAAAAATGCAATTCATGCATACAATTACTTAAATATGCTTATTTTATGATAAGCACGTTTTTAATTTCTCAGTTAAAATTAATGTCGCGGTGATACAGACCCTCATAACTGTAGTAATTAATGTAGTGCTGCTAGAGAGTTATTCCAAAATTATTTATTCCTTTAGTCACAATGCCTTTAATTTTCATGCTTTAGTGTGAGTCATTTGTTCAGAGTTTGTAGTTTTCATACAAGTGATAAAGATATTGTGAAAGATACGATGGAATTTATAAGATCTTTTAAACATTTTCCCCTAGTTTTTATAATTACATAATGAGACCATTTTTAAATTCATTTTCATATTCTCTGAAATCTTAAAAAGCTATTTTTCTTATATTTGTAAATGTAGTTTTTTATGATTTTTTTCAGAATGCATTTGGACCATTTCTGAGTCTTTAATGAAAAAAAAAATAAATATGTTTAAAACTCAAAAGCATCAATTTCTCAGCCCCCACTAGCTACCGAATACTATGAGAGATTTTTAAAATTATTATTATTATTCATTGATATATAGAAACCATAGATTGCTGGTCAAGCATCCATGATATTATACAACAATCGAAAGTCACATGGGAAATGCAGTTGGATGGAAATACCTGACTCACACAGATTAATGTTTCTGATAGTTGCTCGAAATCGTCCAGTTTCACCAACTAAATTACAAAACAGCATTTTTCTGGGCAGCACTACAAATTTATTTCAATGAATACATATAATAAACCCTAAACAAACATGTAACTTAATTTCATATTTTTATGTGTGCTGCTGAAGAAATAAAACATAACACATAATAAACAAACCTCCATTGATATAGTTCCAGTCAATCAAAACCTATAGGGCCGACAAAAAAAACAAGCCTGCAGTTACATATTTTGTCAGTGACTATTGTTGACGTTATTTTGAGGTGCATATTTGTACTTTTTGCAGTGGGAACGTAAGACGTTTATTGCATGAGTTGGTCTTTGTCTTTCAGAGAGCTTGCAATAGGCTACATGTACTGAAGAATTACATTAAAACTATTAATATCAGTGCACATATAATGGCGTTGAAGACTAGCCAAGAAAACATTAGCACTCTTGTAAATATGGTTTCATGTATTTAAATACATTTGTTTTGTTTTCAGCCCAAACCCCCACCCAGTCCGCCTTTCTATACTCACAAACGTTGACCTGCAATGCACTGCACGGTACACTGACACAGTTATGTAAAAAGTCGTGCTACCACCGACAAAATTCGTTTTATTAACTTCTTAGTTGACATACAGGTTGTAACAAGGAAAAACCGCATATATTCTTGTATTTATAATGTAGTATAATCATTACAACTCTATGAAAATATAGGAATACTATACAAAACGGAACGATAAGAAAATTTCGGCGCATGCGCGGTATGCGACAGGTTATGCAACATTTTTTACCAACAGTGAAAAAATGAGGAGTTCTAATGTCACAAACCAGCAAGAGCACGCTTGATTCCCGATCCAGGTCTTTGGTGATATCAGTGTTGTCCCGGCTTACTTTTGTCACAGCGAGGCACGTATGAATCCTGACATACTGTACAATACTTCACCGGTCCTTATTACTGATCACTGAAAGCAGTGGCTCACGGTCTGATCTCAATTTTGGCTCCTCCCCTCTACTTCAGGCTGCAGTACTAGGGTTCCCATGGAAAACACTACCTAGTGACGTCAATCCGCGCTCATTGGTGTATGATTCTTGTCAGTTTGTTTATATAAATCGTGAAGGCGCCGCAGGTGGAATCCCATGCTGACGCTATGATCTCGGAAAGTAGAGTAACCGTATAAAGTTCAAAATGACGGTAACGTTGCTACGTTATATAAAGACAACATAGAATTGCTCGTTATCTAAGTACGTATACACCCCGCTGCATGCTTCATTTTTATACAGTGGTAATAACTACAAAACTGCGTTCGTTTTATGCTGCGTTCTTTATTAGACATAACTTTTTGATTAACCTGATTTGGATTTTTATGGTACCGTGTACTGATGCACATGTCTACCGTTACGCGATTTCGTAGTTTAGGCTTACTTACGTTCACTATTATAACAGCACAGGGGTCACACCAGAGGTGGGACCAAGTCATTGTTTTGCAAGTCACAAGTAAGTCTCGAATCTTTGCATTCAAGTCTCGAGTCAAGTCCCGAGTCAAGACAGACGAGTCCCAAGTCAAGACAGGCAAGTCCAAATCGAGTTGCAAGTCCTCAACTTTAAGATT